GGAAAAATATGAAAATATATATTTATCACTATTGGTTTGTTTTAAACATACTAGTAATCTCACCCGTGCGATGCACGACATGATTTTTTTTTAATGTATTGTAGTTAATAAGGTCCACCACTGTAATTATTGACGACACTAAACAATGTCACGCAATAAAGATACCAAAAACGCAATTGACAAAACACATATTTAATATTATGGTGAACTGAGAATACAAAACATCACGGGAAAGTAAAGAAAAAACAACACATAGATATATTCCAAAACAGTGAGACTGTAAATATCCATTTCAATCAACCTTAAACGTTGTTGAAAACTTCTTTGAATACCACATTCTGAGTTTTGTTAGTGGTTCGTCCATCATCACCAACAATTAAAATTTTCAAACAACATCGGTTGGTCACCCTAGAAATTGCAACATACAACTGTCCGTGAGTAAATACAGGTTTTTGTAATAACAGCCCAACACGGGACAAAGATTGACCTTGACTTTTATTTATCGTCATCGCGTATGACGTCATTACAGGGTACTGGCGCCGCTGAAATTTGAAAGGTAAGGAAGTATCCGATGGCGTCAAATCATTGGCATTTAACAGAAATTGTGTGTTTAGGAAAATCCATGCTGGAACTGGTAATCTCTCCACATACCCAAATTTGGAGCAAATATGAAGTATGATACCTGATATAAATATATCCCCGCTAGCCTCGCATTGTTTTTTCAAATGTTTCCACATTAATGAGGCAATGTCTAACCTAGGGGCTTCCGTCAAAACAGCCATGGCAAGGATTCCCAAATCAGTTTTCCTACTCTTACACTTTCTACCCTTGTAACTCGCATTATTTTCAAAAAAAAAAAATAAATAAATAAAAGAAAAAAAAATGCTAGTTAGATTGAAAACCCACAAAAAGGGCAATCTAAGCAAAAGTGGCTAAAATGAGTGAGTTTGGAAAGGAAAAGGAAAACAAAAAGAGAGGCTAGGATGAAAACCGAAAAGGCTCCTAGGCAGAATGAGAGAATGAGAGGAATGTTATCTTTGTTTGTGCAGGAATTCATTCCAATTGAGGGCTCTTCGGTTTCAAGAAATGACGAGTATTTCGTTCGCAAAAATGATGAAGACCCCTATTGTCATTCGGGGAAGAAATGTAAAAATTGAACACGTTACTTGCATTGAGCCTACTTCTTAGCTCTATCTCCAAAGATTTTGAACTGCTATGTTGATTTTACTCGAGGACGAGTAATGGACTAAGTAGGGGGGAGTTTGATAGCATGGAATTATGTTTGTTTGTGTGTAATTTTAACTAGTTTTATTTGTTGTTGTTTGGGAAATTACACACTTTTGATGTAATACTTTATTTTTCTTATTTGTTTGTAATTTGTATAGATTAGGATTATTCTGAGCTTTAACTAGGTAAAGATCATCAAAAGGATCCTTTGAAAACTGAAGGAAAGTGCAAGGGAACAAGATCAAGTGAAAATTTGGGAAAAAAGTCATTTACCCCGATCGGGTAAAGCATATACCCGATCGGGTATTGACTTGATTCGAAGATCAAATCTGATTTGGAGGCAATTTAACGTGCATGGTGAAGATTTGGCAAAGATTTGTCTTTTACCCGATCGGGTAAATCAAAAACCCGATCGGGTAAGATGTGACAAATGAAGATTCCGGGCAATTTCTCAGGAAACCCGATCGGGTTTCTCAAAAACCCGGTCGGGTAAATGGCCCTGGCAGCTCCAAACACCTATAAATACACCCCCTTTCCTTCCCATTTAATCACCAATTCCTATATACTCTTAAGCTCAGTTTAGAATAGTATTTCTTTTATATTTTTATAGCATGTTTAATCTCCAAATGATGAGCTAAACTCTTCCATCTTGGTTTTGCTACTTTGAAGTTTAATGAATTTGTAAGTTGTGAGTTATTCTCTTTAATCTTCTTCCTTGAATATTAATTCTTCCTTTAAATACTATTTCTATATCAATGTTAGGGAGTGTTACTAAGATGACAATTAGTTAACATCTTGACATTAGTTATAGTAGTAGCTATTTCTTCCTCTATGTTAATATTGTGGTGTGTTACTAAGATGACAATTAGTTAACATCTTGATATTACCTATAGTAGGATTCATCTTCTTTAATATTCTTCCTTGAGTATTAATTAATTCCTATTCATATTTCATATTAATATTTTGAACATTACTTAAAGGATCAACTAGTTTTGTTTCATATATTAATTATTACTAGAATCAATTGGTTAATACGCTTGTTATTAATTCGGTTCTTTCAATGGTAGTAAACTTGGGTTGTTAATGCATGCTTCTCATGGTTAATAAGCCAATGGGAATTAATTATATTGATTAAACCAATAACCCGCTTGTGTTGAGGTTATCAATCTCAATCGTTTTCATCTTAAGTTTATTGCTACTATCAAGTTAATATACGGCGCTTGTTCTATATTGACTCGATAGTAAGTTTTATTAATGAACGCATCTCGTTATTAATAACTACCCTCGATGAACTGGATATACTCCTCGATTGAGTATTCGAGAGGAAGATAGTTAAAGATATAACCGGGATCGACGAACATTTCATTAAGTGGATAAAAGCAAAACCAAGCCTCCATCTCTTTTAAAGTAAACCACATAACTCGTTCATCTTTGTGTTTAAACATAATTTAAGTTCATAAACCAATCATAAAAACCCCCCTTGTTACTTATTTCTAGTTTTATAAAAAGAGAAGTGTTCCTTTCCCTGTGGATACGAACCTTACTACACTATACTACGTATTAGTGTTGTATTGTATTTATTTTGAGTGCACACACGACAAAGTGCACGTCACTGTCGGTTTGGCGCCTTTGAGTACATATCACGGGCCCACAGAGTAAAATTAGCCACAAAGAGTAGTACATAAAGTTGTTTAATGAGATCTCTTTCAGAAAGTTTTACAGAAAGTTGTTTAATGAGATCTCTTTCAGAAAGTTTCACAGAAAGTTGTTTTTGAGATATCTTTCAGAAAGTTTCACAGAAAGTTGTTTTTGAAATATCTTTCAGAAAGTTTTCACAGAAAGTTGTTTTTGAGATCTCGTTCAGAAAGTTTTACAGAAAATTGTTTTGAGATCTCTTTCATAAAGTTTTACAGAGATGTTTTGAGAATGAAAATTTTGAGATCTCTCGAGCAGTTTTGAAAAATTATCTTAGAAAATATTTTCCTTTTGAGATCTCACTCAGAATGTATTTGAGAAGTTATGTGATAGTTATTTGTTCAGTGCATGCTTATAGTCTCAATTTATCTATTGATAAATTGGCATAGACTTCAAGATATTTTTGTAGATCCATAGTGACTTACTAAGCGTAAAGCTTATTAGTTTTCTTTCTTCGCATGTACAGATACTAAGGGTAAGGCCAAGACCTAGGAAGATGATGAGGGAGTGGAACGCGTGCCAAGATGAGTTAACGGGAACGACCTTGGCGGCTTTTTGCTAGATATTAATTTGTTTGAGTATTTCAGTGTTATAACAAAAAGATTATTATTATTTTATTCTATTTGAGGATTTGATTTTTGAATAAATTCGTGGATCCAGGTAGTTATCACATTTGCTGGTGATAACTATTTTATTAAGTTTTTTATTTGGAGTTGTTTTAGTTATATCTGAGATTTTATCAGGGTTATTCTTAAATAAATGGCCGTTATATTGGAGTTATTTTTAAAAGTAGTACGTTAGTGTAACGTTTCCTTTAACCCTGAGAGGGGCATTACAAAGCAGTAATCATCACTTCGCCATGGGGCAGGAGTTGAAGGGAAGCAGTCCTGCGTTTGCCCTGTTTCATGGCAGCAGAGTACAACGAAACGAAGAAGAAGATCGGCGTCTTTGTGATTACAACGTTTGAGAGATCTGGGAGAAGAGTAATAGCCTTAAAGTTCATTGTTATTACAAAAATACCTGGCGTACCTGTACACTCGGGTGCATGATATAAATTGCGATATAAAAAAGGGGTGATATTATCAAAACAATAAACATATAGATCATCAAAATCTAGGGAACCTAACACTTTGTCTTGTTTTGCCTTTTTCGTCCGTCCCATTAAGTTTGTCTCATACCATATTTGGTAATATTTGAGTGGTTAGGATTCATTCTTACTTTATTCACACTCTATCAATTCAATATCAATCACATAATTCCACTTTTTTCTAAAATGTTGTGTCACACCCCTTTGTCCCAAACACAACGAGACATAGGTAGTACTTTGAATTATCATGCATGTTCAAATATCTCAATTACCGTATGCCAATTATCATATTATGCATGTTCAAATATTTTAATTACCATATTTGTACAATTATAACTTTGAATGATGTATTGTTATGAATTTGAAAGATATTTGTACCAATTACTCGTATCATTTTATTTATCACAATTTCGATTATTTTGCATGTTCAAATATGCCGATTACCGCATCTATACAACTACTCCCTCCGTCTCATTTATCTGTCTTACTTTCCCTTTTGGGTCGTCTCAAAATAAGTATCTCCTTTCCTTTTTTGGAAAAAATATGTGGCCTACACCATTTCACTTTATTATACTCAAACCTCAACCACAACTTTTACTTTTTCAACCATTTTATTAATAATCGTGCCAAGTTAAAGCAAGACACATAAAATGGGACGGAGGTAGTATTACTTTGAATGTTATACTAGTATAACTTTGAATGATATTTTTATCAATTACTACCTCCGTCCCGGTGAACTTTGCCAAACGCTTAGTAGGTGAGAAATAAGAATAGTAAAAACTGTGTGATTGAGATTTGTACAGAGGTGAGAGAAATGTGCAAAACCACAAATTAGTTGCTTTAGTATGAAAGTGACAAAGTTTTTTGGGATAATCACAAAGGGAAAGTCGGCAAAGTCCAATGGGACGGAAGGAGTACCATTTTATCTATCACAATTTCAACAATAATAAATTGAAATTCGAATGGACCCGAAAACCGAATCAATCCGACCCCAACATGAACTTCTTCAACCTGAAAAACCCTACAAATTTTTTGATAGGGCGGAATTTGAAATTATAAATCCTACGTAGTATAACCGAATGGATTTACAATCCCAACCCGTCCAAAGAGAATCCAGATGCTCTCCCCTGGCATAATACTTCGACCTCGCCCATCGCGCGCTGACCTGAAAAGCGTCGCTGCAATCGCCGTCGCTCAATTCCGGCCTGTTAACCACCTTTTTTTCTCTCTGGTCTCAGTATTTCAAATCTGCTGGTCCTTCTCTTCGGGGTTTTCGGTTGGTTTTTTGTTTCGAATCTTTCGATCGACTTTTTCTTCGTTGAAACATACTCCGCCTTTCTTCGGAGTATTTGGAAATGGAAGCACCTAAAAAATGCAGACTCTGGTGGCCGGACCGTCTTTCTTCAACTTCTGAATTGAGTTCGCATCCTTTTCATTTCTTGTTCGGGTGGTTCGTCTCGTCCCCTGGAGCTTCTCTTGATATTGTCGTCGCGTTCTCCTGCAGTGAAGGCACTCTAAATTACGCGCAGAGTTATTTGGATATTCAGGTAATGTTTCACCAAAAAGGTTTCAATCCGGGTAAATGCGTTTGACCTAAAAAAATCCAATCTTCTAGATTTGACCCGATTTTAAACAAATTGTTTAGGAGGAGTTGGCTTGCAGAACCTAAGATTATTTTTTAAAATACTGCCATTACCTTACAGAAGCTAACGTCAGATTAGGAAAACGTAAGATAGCCTAATCAATAAGATTATCTTGGTATTAGAAGACTGTAATATTAACTGATACGTTTCTTTATGATATTAAAAAGGGATCGGACAGTTCCTTACGTATCATTGTAATAGAATTTATGCATAGAAAAGTGACTAAAATTCTTATACCATCAGAGCACTATGGTGTAAAATTGAACATCATGGCTACTAAGATTACTACATAGTCATTTAAGTATAAAATGTCGCATCCTTTGTTATACTCATATTGGTCATTTTTCTAATAAAATTGCAATTCTAACCTGTTTTGAAAGTAGATACAAATAATTCAATGCACTACATAAAGTTAGAATATTAACTTGTTAAACTTTTGCTACCTAAGAAACCAAATGATATTGGATCACCCCCCGGATTGATATCTAATTTTCCTATGTGGTGTAATTTGAGCTAACTATACAACAACATTACCCCAGTGTTGGATGTACACAGCCTTACCATCAAGGTTGTTAAACTCGAGATCCTAGCACGGATCGGAAGGGGTCTAGGAGATCGTAACTCGGGGATCATAACTCGGATAGTAAGATCCTATGGTACAATATATATATATATATATATATATATATATATATATATATATATATATAGAGAGAGAGAGAGAGAGAGAGAGAGAGAGAGAGAGAGAGAGAGAGTAATCTTCTGGTCAGGTATACCTGACCGGAGCCGCCGTCCGGCCTCCTCCTTTTGGGGGCCTTCCCGGTGGTATTTTTTGCTCAAATTTTTTGTGTATGTTCCTCATCAAGTCTAGTTCATCCATACCAAATTTCAGCAAAAAATTCAATCGGGAAGGTCGTCAAATGATTTTTGCAAGTTAATTGGTCGTTAAATGATTTTTACATATGGATGAACTAGACTTGATGAGGAACATACACAAAAAATTTGAGTAAAAAATACCACCGGTAAGGCCCCCAAAAGAAGGAGGCCGGACGGCGGTTCCTGTCAGGTATACCTGACAGGAACATTTGTGTGTATATATATATATATACACACACACATATATATAAAGCACTCAATTATATATATATATATAATTGAATGCAATATATATATATCCTATGGTACAATATATATATATATATACACACACACACACATATATAAAGCACTCAATTAATATTTATAATTAAGATTAATAGTTAATAGTAGGAGTAATAATAAGTTAATTACGGACTATTAATTATTAATAACCTAATGTCAAGGCTCAAAGCAATTTATAAAACACTTAACATATCAAATTCAAAGATAAATCACAAAACATTTGAGATAAGAAGGTCAAAGGTAAACTCCAAAACATTTGACACAACAAAATATCAACTTAATATAAAACATCATTTGACCCACTTACCATGACCTAGTGGCTACTCGGTAGCTTCAGGACAATTAAAAGCAGTCCCAAAAGATTAAAATTGGAACTGCCAGAACAACTAAAGCGGCCGAAAGATAGAAAACAGAGAAGAGATGAAGCAGATGAAAAACAGAGAACAGAGATGAGATGAAGAAAATGAATCAAGAAGATTGATTTAAAGCGCAAGAAACTGGGAAGATTAAGGTCGCTGCCGATGTTTTTTTTAACTTGTCGTTCTGCGACTTCTTTCCCGTTTTTTAGCTTCGAAGTCGCAACTCGGGTAGATCGCAGAATCAGGCGAGTTACGATTTTACTCGTCGATCCGACGATCCAAAGCCTTTTTCCGATCTTAGCAGCGATCCAGCTCGCACATCCCTATTCTGATCGTAAAAACGTACGATCCTACGAGTTGGATCGCGATCCTAGCAACCTTGCTTACCATGTATTAAAGCACATAGAAACTGTTTCCGAATGACCCAAGATGAAAATCGCATCGAAAATTGTAATTTGAGCTAACTATATGGTTTCAAAAGTTGAACCAAACAAGGTAATCTCACATTACCTTAATACATTACGAATGCAATCATATATAACATGACTCCCCTAGAATTTTCAATTTAATCACTATTATTGGATGTAGGGGTGGAGCCAGGGCACTGGGCCGGACTGGGCCGATACAAAGAATATTTTTGGGAAAAAATTACCCTAAACTTTTTATACTAAAAATAAAGACATTTTTTAAATTTGGGGTTGGCTAGGGCCTGGGTTTTCCCTCCCCTAGCTCCGCCCTGATTAGATCATCTGCCATTTTGACTAATTCTTATAGAATTGTCATTTTAGTCACAATGTAACTGACTGGTTCAATTTAGTCACCATTGGCCCTCCCCTAGCTCCGCCCCTGATTGGTTCAATTTTTTGACTGCCATTTTTTTATTCGATAAATTCTTTCAAAATTGACATTTTGGTCGTTTTTAAGACTATATGCAATTTTTAAAATTAAATTACTTGACACATTAAACAAGCAACATGGATTTAACAAATTCCATAATAACTCTTATGGATTTAACATGGATTTAACAACTCTTATGGCTAGTTTGGTAATTGTAGCGGTAGTAAATTGCTGTATGCAATTTTTGAAATTAAATTACTTGACACTATACTAAACATGGATTTAACAAGCAACTAAGACAGACTACTCGGTGATTATTCGGCCTTGTATTGGTAGTAAATTGTTGTTAAAATGTAAGCTATAAGATTCTACTGGTATTAGTCTAATAGTCTTACTAGTGTTATTTATATAACAGAAAACAACAATTTACCATAACTGACATATATGATACTACCTCCGTCCCACTATGTTTGGGACAATTCGGTTTACGATGCTTGACCGACGATAAAGCAAACAGATCCCTGTCTGCACTCAAATTATTTTTAGAAAAAAATAATTACATATTCAGAAACTACATTAAAATCTTTACAAAGTTGCATACACCTGAATCAAATTTGATAAAAATTTGATATATAAAATAAGAGATTAAGAGTGATTTGTGTTGACCAAGTGAATAGTGCTTTAGCGGGATGGAGGGAGTATTTCATAAAGTATATAAGGAATACCACATCATCTTATCAATCCTAACTTTGTCTTCATTTGGTTCAAGAAAAACATTGTCTTCATCTTCTTCCATGTATACAAACATAAAATTTATAGTTTTATGAATTATTATAATCTTAAAATAGTGTTAACTGTTTATTAAATTGAAGCCCCTAAATTTATTTGTAATTTCATAATGACCCAATTTTATTTTCAATCTTGTATGCTTAACTATGACCAAGTTACTAGGCGAGTAATCGAACTCACCAAGTCACTAAAATTGCCAAGTACTTGCCAAGTAATTCCTTTTTTCTAATCGGATCGAGTGGGTAGACAACTCAGCAAAGTTTAGGCCTAATTTGTGATACTCAGTGAGTAATCACCGATTTAAAAATATAGCTTATTGTTCATTGTTGCTCACTAGGCTTTATTTAGTGAAAAGTCTATAGGAGAGATTTTAGGGTAGTGAAACAACTAGTTTTTGTGAACTTTTTTTCCAATTTGCTAAGTAGATGATCTGAAAAAGGTTTACTTTGTTCTTTTTAAGATAGTTTGTGAGTAGACATTAGCTAATATCTAAACAGGGGCCTTAAAAACTAAACAGAAGCATGACAAAACCTCATTACTATATACTTTCCCGTTCCCTGCACTTTACATAATACTCCCTCGGGTTTTGAATCATTTTTACACTTTGACTTCACACATATTAAGGAAATAAATTTGACTTTACCGTACCGTAGAGTACACTGTTTGACACTGTTTGGCACTGTTTGCATTGTTTTGCACGGCTTGGTGTAGATTTGTAAGGCAAATAAGGAAGTGTTAAGTTGAATTTGGTACTAACAAAAAAAGGAAAGTGTAAAGATGATTTAGAACCGGAGGGAGTAATTTAGTTAGTATATGTTTTTCCGTCATAGCTCTTTTTGACATGTTTTATCCATCGTAGCTCTTATTTTTTACAGTTCAAAATTGTATAACACAGACCTTTATTTAATTTTAAATTTAAAATTTAGATTTAACGGGCCTGCCAAGTCAACTCATTCAATTGTGACTAGCTTTATACATAGACCAAAATTGCATTCAATTTACGAAATTTTGGCTAGATTAGGCACTTGAAAAGAGTTGCCCAAAATCTCATTGAAATGTAAAGGATTGGCTAAAATTGTACCCACTCCAAAATATGTCTAAATTGCAAATTAAAAGAACTGTCTACTAGAAATCTTAAGGGATTGATTTTTATGTACCTCAGTACCATTACACGTTAGTCCTGTTATTCATATTACGATTAGAGCATCTCCAATGCTATAATGTGCACGGTGCACACGTGTCATTAGAGATGACCACATAAATATTAGTTAATTAATTTTTCTCTCTCTTTATTTAAATGATTTTATACAGTTTTGGTAAGTTTTTCTCCACAATGTCAAAGAGACCGTCAAATGTTGACATTGCTGTTGACATTGCAGGAAAAAACTTACCAAAATAGTATAAAATCATTCAAATAAGGAGAGAGATAATTTATTTGCTAATATTTATGTGGCTATCACTACTGCCACATGTGCACCGTGCACATTATAGCATTGAAGATGCTCTTAGAAGCTTTAGTTTTTAACTTGTTAGATGGTGCTTTAATGCCAGGAGATACATTGAAAAGTTTTCCGAGACATACTTGTTGTTTACACTTTACACGTCTCTCTCTCTCTCTCTCTCTCTCTCTCTCTCTCTCTCTCTCTCTCTCTCTCTCTCTCTCTCTCTCTCTCTCTCTCTCTCTCTCTCTCTCTCCCTCTCTCTCCCTCTCTCTCCCTCCCTTTCCTTCTCTCTCTCTCGTTGGGTGACAAGAAAGAATTGTTACATGATTATGGTGCCATTAACCAGGGCATTCTTCATGAGATAAATGATAATCTGCCAATGCTTCCTCAAGATGATTGCAAGGTATCTTTGTTTGGTTGTTATGTGGCTGATGGTGGCGATCACCATTCAATAAAGGTTGGAACTGAAACTGCTTGTCCGGGAACTTACCGTTCTGGTAATTTCTATGGCCAAAGTACTGTACTACTGTTGGAATGATGGATGGGAGATTAGATTATGTGTGTCACTAGTTTTATGTTTTAGCAGGGAAAAATAGCAGAACTGCAGAAATCAACTGGATCCAACTTACCAGTGATCATTCAGTGGTGCATGGAAGGGATATAGCACCAATTCCTAAGTTGAAATTTTTAAAATGGAGGGGGGTAGCTATAACCCAGTTAGATGTCCATGTATGTAAGTCATGATTATTCATCCATGTGCTTTTTTTCTTGTCAACCAGATTGGATAGTATCTTTAATCTTTTTATCTTTGTTTTAAGTGAATTCAGGTAATAGTATACGAGACTCCCCAATTCAGGAATCATCATTATTCGCTCCGTTATTGTCCAGCTGAGCATGTCACATCCTCTATAAAGAAACCAATGTGGGTTCAGAATCTTTACCAAAAAAGGAGCCATATTGAATTGGTAATATAATAATATTAGCTATCAAGGTGCTGCTATAGTGTCACTTCCTGATTACTAATTTCTCTTTTGTTTCCTGAAGGAAGAATATTGTGATTCAGACTATTAACACTGCCAGTGCTGCTAAAGTCCGTTTTGAGTCACATTTTCCTGCTAAAAGATCCAGTACTCCATTTCATGTTTTTTCCATGTAAGTTCTTTGAAATCATGAAGTCTTTCCATTTGCCACTTTTTTTTTTCCTTTTCCGTTACCGATTTGGTGTAATTGTTGACTCATCGCAGGTTTACAAATTTTTGCTGGCTATTATTTGCCACAACTCTAGCATTGCTGTCAACATTCTTGTTTTCCGTTCTTCAGTCCTTCCTCACTGCTTGGAGCTATGTGTCACGCTGGTCTTTTGTACACACCATATTGGGTATTTTGTTTGGTAAGACCTGCAAAAATTTAGAGGCCCGCTGCCCCCAGCTACTGTTTTGGCCAGTTTTTCTTCAAGGTTCCAGTGTCAGGTATTTTGCTTGACCATTTATCAGTGATGTTGCAAACATGCTTTTCTAGTTCATTTCCGTCTCCACATTATATCATCAAATTGCATGGCAAGGATGAAGTATGTGATTATGTACTTTTGTAGTTATGTCTAGGGAGACAACCCATTAATACATGGTTAGAAAGCCTTCACTTCCCCCAATTATCAATTATGTTTGGGTATACAATAAAGTTGATTTATCCTTACCACTCGGGTGCTCATTTAAGATCCATTGTATAATTTTACAATCATTCTGAGCAAGCACTCTTTTTCTAAAATCAAGTTAAAACTTAAAAGTAGTAGAATATGACTATAATGCCCCTGTTAATGTTTTAAAATACTATTAGCGTTTATGAGTGGAGAAGGGCACAACAACATCCAAGCCTTAATCCCAAAAGAATTCGGGGTCGGCTAACATGAATCGATCTATCATATCAATGCCAAACAGAGAAGACGGACAAGAAGGGGAAAAACAGGAAAAAAGTACGATAAAATGGATAAAACAAAGATAAATAAATATAAGATAACAATAACATAAGAATATAAGAAAGATAAAAGATAGAAAGATAAAAGAACATAAAAAGCTAGAAGATAAAAATAACATTCGAATATAAAAAAGATAAAGAAGATAAACGATAGAAAATAATAAATCAATGCTCTTTTGGTATCCTAAAACATCATCTCTTAGGGATTAATTTTCTCTCTCTAAAGCGATATTAGAAAAACAGAGGGAGTAAGAGATAAGTTACATTGAGGTCTTCTGCTGGTTTCATGATGAAATTGACTAGAACTCCTTGCCATGATCTCTTCGGTCTTAGTATTGGTAGGGCATCAAGCCTGGAAATCTAGATCATTAATGTTTTTCCTTCTGATAATCTGATTCAAGCAATGAGCATTGTCAAGCTCATAAGCAAGGGAGTTTGTAGCATAGGCAAGGGTAGAGACTGCTGATTTAGTCTTTGTTGGTGATCTTTTAGATATTTTTACACGTAGCTTCTTTCTGTTTTTCCTCTTCTTGGAACGTTTTCGTCGTAATGGCTAAAGTGTCATTGGCTACTTGGGACATTCAGATCTATCATTTTTGGGGTATCAATGTGGATGTTTTTACTTGGACTAGATTTTCTGGTGTGGTCTAGTCTGGTCTGAACTGATCTGGTTTGGTTTGGTACATGTCTGGTCTCTGTATTTTATAACTATCCAAGTTTGATTTGGTCTGATCTGGGACTGAAAACGGTCCAAGTAAAAACATCTTGCATGTTTGTTTAGACTTGCAGTGTTAACGGGGTCGTTGATGATTTGCTGTATTTATTGAAGGAGTGATGTACCCCCTCAAACCCTTATTTACCAGTGAGATCTTAAGGAGTTGGCATCTTTTGTAGAATTGAGTCCATAGTTTTAACACGCTATTGAGGCATATACCTTTAGGGTTACCTCTAGGTGAAGCTATAACAAATTGCCTTGAGGCCTTAATCTTCATGTGACAGAGTAGTTTATGTCTCACCTGAGTGAGGCTTATGCCTCATGAGGCGTATGAGGCTTACACCTCTAATGGAATGCATAGATGAACCATTTTACATGTTATTTTTTGTTTTGTTTTTGTCTTGTTTTGTTTTGTTTAGCTCAACAAGGCTTGTTTTCATTAAAAGATTTGGGATAATTTTAGTTAGCTGTTTATGAAAGGCTTAACCCAACAAAGCCCCTGAACTCTTGATGACTGTTTTCTGCCCAGCTGTCAACTGCATTCTTTCTATATGGTTCTACACTTCTACTTGACTGCTTTCTTCTTGACCCAACAGACGCTTTCAGTACTAGCAACCAACTTTCTTATCTACTCTACGTCGTCATATTTCATATTTTCTTCTGTGTGGAAGAGAGTGGACTTAAATATTTGTTAGTTTTTATATTTTGCATGCTTTTACAGTTGTGACATGAATTGCCATGTCATATTTACCCAAGAATGATGGCGTTTTTTTATTTTCACAAACTTAAACGACCTGTATGATTTTTTTTATTTAATATTTTACATATGACGTTTCTTTCTTGATTTGCCTTTATGCTTAAACCTAGTGACTCGTGAGGCTAAAGCAATTGTCTCAAAGCTCACTTTTGCTATTTAAAACCATTATTACTAGAAAACATAAGCAAAATTCTCTTTGGTGAAGGATTAAAAGCTTGTCTGTTACTCCATATAATTTTTTAAAATTTCTGAACAGCCACATCATATTCTTATTCTTCTTGATTGAAAAATAGAATCTCATTTTACAGCCCTTCTTGTTTTTCTGCTTCATTATGCATTTCTAGTTTTAAGACCATGTAATGCTCAATTTCCTTTCCTTTTAGGTGTCAATCTAGTGTGGAGTATGCTGAAATGGCAGCATTACGCAGACACTTTGTGTGGTCTAGTCTTTTTGTTGATCTTCTTCTAGGAAATGTGCTTGGCATTCTATTGTCTTCTCAAGCAGAAGCTGTTTGCTCATTCATTTTGAGTTTAGCTGATGGCATAACCAACCATGTTCTGCGTACTGGTTGTGTATGGCTGATGGGGAACCCAGCTGGTTTCAAGTTGAATGCTGAGTTAGCCGGTGTCCTTGGGATGGTTTCTCTTAATGTTGTTCAGATATGGTCCACAGTTTGGTCATTTATAAATTCCTTTTTGCCTTATCTCTTGAAAACAATTGCTGTATGTGGCTGTATTTTTGGTCTGACTACTGCTTCTGCTTTGACCATTGACATAATCTCATTAGCAACGGTCCATTTGTCTGCTCTTCATTGGTTACTTTCACTACTCTATTCAAGGCAGATACAGTTCATATCAACTTTGTGGCGCTTTTTCAGGTATTTACATCACACTGTTATTAATGTCTAGCTGTTGCTTTGAGCAGCATTATTGTTTGTTTCCATTGCATTTCTCCCTCTTCATACTGGCTCCGATAGGTTGTAATTTTTGTACTCCCTCCGCCTAAAAAAGGACTAAAGTTCCAAACATTTGTGTTGTCCCAAAAAAAGAGTCCAGTTTAGTCTAATACACTACGTTTTCATGTTCCCCCCCAAAAAAACAGGCATGGACAAGTTATACTAGATAGTAGATACATTAGTTAAACCATGAAATAAGCTTGAAAAATATAGTCCGAGAAACCATTGTATGTTTTTCCATTTTTTTAATAAATTGGTAGGGTGTTTCCTGGCCCCTAACCGGAGAAACCATGTGGTTTCTTGGTCGAATACCGGGGTAAAAAAAAAAGCTTGAAAAATATAAACACAATTCATGTTTTACATCAGCTATACGCCTATACGTTACCAAAATTAAAGAAGAGGAATTACACTGACCATAAATAAAAATACAAAAGATCAACCTGCAATGGGTTCTATACAACAGTAGTAACAGTAGCAGGATAGTAGCAAATAAATATCCAATACTGATACTGCGCAATCAATAGCAATAGCATGATATGCCTCAGCCGCTTGAGTGACTTACATTGTAACCACTGTATTCGTTGTTATATGTAAGATTTTTTTCATTGGATGTCAAAATCATCGTTAGAGGATATATTTATAAATCAATAATAGCTTATTTTTAGTTTCCATGAATTAAAAGTTGTACATTGGTCTAACAAGACTGTTTTCTTGGACCCCAAGGCATTAGTAGTATTATCGGAGTCCAGTTATCTGCATAAGTTATTTTTATGCAGACAATGATGCTACTATCTAACATGTTCAACTGGATAACAGAGGTAGGAAATGGAATCCTCTTCGGCAGAGATTAGATAGCTGCGGTTACACAGTGGAGCAACATGTTATTGGCTCACTTCTGTTCACTCCTCTCTTCCTTTTGCTACCAACTGTTACTGCATTCTATATTTTCTTCACGATTATAAATGCAAGTCTAGGGTTGATTTGCATAGTTATTGATTTGGGGATATTAGTTATCCACGTCACACCATATACTAAAGTTGCTCTTTGGTTGCTGAGGAAGAAACGATTTCCTTCTGGTATATGGTTTGAGATTGCAGCTCTTCAATGTGATGTGACAACCTCTTCACACATTGGGTCATCAGATGAAACCATCAATCTGGTGGCCAGCAGAAATTGTTACAGATCATCTGGTGTGGTTTTGTTTTTGCGAGGCAACTATTTGAGCTTAAGTAAGTTCAAGTAAACACATTCATTGGAAATTTGTGACATTACTGTAAAGTGGTGCTAAACAAATTGATATTTTTAAGCAAATAATGATTAAACACCGATAGACTAAATGTATGATGCCTTCATCATAGGTTTTAATACCATGCCTCGCCATCTCTACTCTCAGTTCTGAGAACAAAGATCAATCCTTAAACAAGATATGATATTCTATGCTAATCTGTTTGTTTTATTGCTAAATTAGAAGCCTGTTTTTAAAATAACAGGTGGGCTAATGCTACTGTAACAAGAGTTCTATTTTATAAATAACCACCCTTATAACTTGGCTTGATTCCCTAACAACACCTGGCTTTATTTAATGGGCAAAGACATCTCTAATGTGTGGTTTGCTTACTGTTCAAGTATGTTGGCGAGCTTTTATTCAATGAGAATGAACATAAATTGTGTATTTATGCAGGAGAAGTGGTTTGGCCCCATTATAGTTGCGTGTCTTCAGCAGTTTCAAGGTCGTCCATGGCATCATCAGCCTACGGGGTTCTAACAGGGAAACGGTTGGCATCTGTTTGCGCCCTCATGGTGTTGAATGTTGATTACCCTCATTCACATTTTTTTGTAATATCTTTTGCCCTTCACTGCAGTATTTCCTACACACTAGGTACAAGTGGGCTCCCCAGGAAGCTGCCATGGATGGTCGTTCCATACAAAGTTTACTGGCACCTCTGTTGCGATGCAATCCTTTCTTGCAGGAAAGACTGAAAGCCATGTTGTGGCGGCATTAATTGAGGATGATGCTTGGTGCACGTGCTACTCATCAACACTTTCAACCCTATTTCTGGCTTCAATTCTTCCATTTTTACCAGTGTTTTCAAATTGTTTTCATGAGTTAATATAATATGGTGGTGGTTTGATAGCTTTTATGCGATGGCTTAGGGCCTGCTTTAAACAAACTAATTAGGTTATTCAGTCAGGGATAGTGATGAAAAGAAACGAGATTAAACCAAGGAACAAAGTGTTTTTTTGGACCCGGTGTTAATCCAGAAAACTGTAGCTTTCTAGGGTGAAGGCCAGGAAACACCTTGCCTAAGGAACAAAGCGTTGTTACAGCTAAAGAAACTATTAAAGAAAATGTTTAATGCACTAAACTTCGTCGTATATAAATTATGCACATTAGCCATTTGTGATTTATACAATGCGTCAAATGCCTATGCATCAAAACCATTAAAGAAAGTACTTGTGCATACTAAGAATGAGAAGATGAAAGAAGTGTTGAGCATCTATTGAAAAAACATATGTTTACCTATCTTCAGCTGAGATTTTTAAAAGTTCAAAACGATTGTTTTTTACCTTTTGTTTATTTATGGTTATTTGGTAATGTAAAAATTTGTGGAATCAATTGAATTTTTTTGAATCTGGAGTTGAATTGCAAGGATTCTTAAAAGATTTGTTTTTAAAATCTATTTTATTAGTAAAATAGAGAGAATATTATATTAAAAGTTAAAATAGTTTTCTACAACAAGTTCAAGAAAAATAATTTTAGCCTTGCTTATTTTTATTATTGCACTATTTAACATATGTAAATATGTAATCAAAAGTTTAGTTTGAAAAATTTTGGCTGATCAATGGAAGAATATGATATCAAACATGATGTTATGTTTATTCATTTTTGTTATTTTCCATATAAATGAAGAACATCATCCCTTTCAATTAAATGTGGATTTGGTTTGAGTGATCAGTAAACCACTTAGATGGCTAGATTAGAATCAGTTTAGTTGGGATTGGGCTGGAAATCCTGGAATCATACTTAAACAGGCCTTGCTTAGGTACAGTTTTGCTTTAATTCGGTACTGGTTTGGGATAAGAACTGGATCTTATCTGAAAAATTCATCCCAGTCTTGACTAGGAAATAGGGAGCAGGGATGGTGGTGTAGTGAGAACCGATTGGCCTCGAATTGATTTATTAAACTATGATTTATTTATGCGATACAATGTCAACTATTCATCAATTGGGTCAGAGTTTGTTTGATAGTTTGCATGCTAATTTTATACACCCACACGAGGTTATGTCGTGTTCTTTCAAGTGACACGCTCCACATCAATCATATTGTAATTTGGCGCTATGTTTTTCAATAATTTATTTAATTGAATTCTCAATTGAATTTTAAATTGAAATTTTGTGCTCATAATTTACACAGGATAAAAAGCATATTCAAAAATTTTCATCAAAACATTCCATAGGGAATCACTCCAAACGGCGGCGGCCGGACAAAAGATTATGTCCATCCGGCTGGACATGATCATTGTTCATGGTTAATATTAATAAAAGTTGTCACTTTCGGCCCCCAGTGACACTTTTTGGTACTCAACTTTTGATTTTTCCATTTTTAGTTCTCGGCTATTGTGTTAGAGACACTTTTAGTCCCCTGACTATTGTCAAATTGACACTTTTAGTCATCCCATTATGATTTAGATACAATAAGTGGAGGACTAAAAAAGGCACTATTATAATAGTTGAAGGACAAAAAATGTCACTTTTATGAAAGTTGAAGGACTAAATGTGAAAAATTTTCAAAGACGAGTTCCAAAAGTGTCACTAGCGCAATAGTCGACGACTAAAAATAGAAAAAACCAAAATCGAGTACCAAAAGTGTCAATTACATAATAGTCGTAGGACTAAAAGTGACAAAACCTTTATTAATAATGTAAAACATTATATAGCACTCTCCCTATTAATGTAAAATGACCAAATTTTTAAAAGTGTTGAAGTTTAGAGTGAATAATAAAAAAACTGTCTAAATTCACTACTTCCTTACATTTTACATGAAAAATATTTGGCATGTAAAGTATTAATTTGCATATTAACTTGGGTCCCAAGTGTGGTTAAGTATATGTGATGAGCTTGATTGAATGTTTTAAGTTTCAATTCCCTCCGTGTGTCAGGGGAACTATTAAGTTACTTTTAAACCGCTGAGAGCTCCAAGAATACGGCTCAGTACTGAAAACTAATGTTGAACTTTTAACAAAAGCTAGGATTTGTCTTTATTTGATTTAATAGGATGGGAAAAAAAACTTGTTTTTTTCAAACATCTTATTTGCCCCTCCCCCCACAGAGTATCGATGATAATTGATAACTCAATATATTGGTTCTGATGTGATAACCTTCACAAAAACAGACAGACAACTATAAATTTAATGCAATATATGCACAAATACTTAAATCACACATGCAATCAGTATTGTGAAGAAATCTGTAAGAAACCTCTGATGAAACCAACTGTGAGAAAAACAAAGACAATGTGGGTATGTGTTCTACTAAACTTAATCTTGGCCATAATTCTTGAAAAATGGCATGATAATCCATTTTTAGTACAACTTAGGCTGAAAGCACAACTTTTAATGAGTACTTGTAAACATGTTTATGTTTACCAGGCATGTATATGGTCATTCATTTTGTTTTCAAACTTGTGGTTCGAAATAAAAGGGCATCTTAGACAGTTAAGAGACCAAAATAGAGTTGTTTGAAGTGCTGAAGGGATTTGTTGGTGAAAGTTCCAAGTAATTGTTGAGTAATTGGCAAGTATATCATGACAAGAAATACAGTGATTGAGTCATGAATGTAAAGCACTTTGCAGTGACAAAAAATTACATCTGGACTAACCAAAGAAATACAGTACAGCAAAAAATAAATAAAAGGGGGCATGAGAATACCACAAAAAATTGCCACATATTGCAAGGATTGCTACTGAGATGGTAGGTCTCTCTAGCAATATTCAATCTGCTTCTTGTTTATCAAACTTTACACTCTAATATTGTAATATCTATCCCCTTCTACATCTTATTAAGAGCAAGAGCAAGATCGCGGAGCTCCTCAAAAGCATCCATGGTTTCTGCATCAAACCCTCCAGCAAACTGCACATGATGGATCCAAAAGGTAGATTTAGTAGTGGCATTTGCTATAGAACTAGGTTTTTCAATAGATTATGAATTCTATGAAAAAAGTCATGTTTCTAATACGGAGTACTAAAAACACTAACAAACCTGATGAATTCTGAATGCAAACCTCACGCCTTGCAGTAGCATATAGTCCATGGAAGTATCTTTATCTGATGGCCCCTTGCACTGGAGCTCCATAGCTACCCTCTTCATATACAACTTTGCCAGTTTCACTGAGCCTAGCTTTATCTGTCATCATATGATTGCAGCAAATTACTATCTAAGAGGTCACAATGCAGTTTTTCCTTAAGACCTCTCTATCTACTTCAAGCCAACTATAGTTTTTCTTTAAATAGGGGTCTTCAGATGGGGGGGGGGGGGGGGGGGGGAGTAAAAAAAATAAAACCTTGCTTAATATCCCATTGTCATGCATCCAGTCAGTCGGGATCTGATATTTGTTGCAGTGGCGGGTTAAAGAATCTCTTGATCGAAGAAGACTATATGTGGCGCGCTCCATCCTTCAAAGGAAAAAGACATAGATAAATAGATATATGTCCAGTCACACCACATTCACAGCTACACAGGATTTCAAAAGATCTTACTTCTCTGACAAAGAAACCATTTTCTTGAGCGCAATATCACATGGCAATCTAGGATCATCATTGTAATGTGAAACTTCACTCTCCAACTTCTTTATATCTCTATATCCAAAAGCTGCCTCCCTTAACGTGTCAGCCTTGCTCTCTGGCCAATCAAAGTGCTTCAGGACTGCTCTTTCATCCACCTTTAAGGACATTGAAACCACAAGCACGATTATTATTAGGACAGGTAGCCTCATTTTGTTGGGGTTTTATAAATATCTATGTTGGTAGTTGCTTAATTGGAGGATAACCTTTTAACTTACCAGAAAGCAAAGTTCATCATCAAGCCATTTCACAAATGCAACAACATCTTCAATGTCCAAAAATGTTGCATTGTTTACTTCACTTATCAGGGACTTCACAAATTCCCCTTGAGTTTCTACGTCGGCCTTTATCTGTACATAGGGAAGAAACAAAAGTGATGGGAACTTTGCAATTTTAGTCAATTGATTTAATTAAATTATTTATTGCATGAGAAGAAGAAACAAAAGGGAAGAAGCTTACAGCAAGCAAATAGGAAGAGCGGTTCGCGATTTCACCAATCATGCTACTTCGAGCATCAGCAACGTTTGAGACATCACAAACTCCATTCAGAGATTCCTTTCTTGAGTCTCTTTTCATGAGTGAGTGATAGAACTCAACTACTTGTGGAGCTCTTTGCACTGTTCCTGTTGTACTACTTCTAACCATGACCTTTGGGGGAGGTGGTGGTGGAGGGGGGAGGGGAGGAGGAGCTTTGGCAGAACTTTCCTTCTTCTGCTCACTGGGAACTGTCACTCTAGGTGGGGGGTTCGGGACCCGCAATGTTCGTCTCTCAACCTCTGAAGAAGAAGACAAAGAGGCTGTCACTCTATCCTGGAAAACATGAGGCTCAGTTTCCTTCCCCACTTCTTTTAAACAAATGAACCCATCAGATTGTCTTCTCATGTTGATCTTCAAGTCTTCAGCAAAACATTTTGATCCGCTAATGGAGTGCCGCCTGGCGTAATTCTGGTTAATATCTTCATCAGTAAGAGGCCATTTCTTGAGCTTTTTAATCAGACTCAACCTCCTGCTGGCATTACTACTGCACCTCAAGGAGTCTTCATCACTTTGATAACATGAGACAGAAGTAGATTCCCTGCTTTTGTCACTATATTCAGGACTAGAAGGAGGCTTATCACGCAGCTCATCTCTTAAACATGAGTTCTCCCATCTCAAGTAGGCAAGCTCCTCAACTTCATTTAAACGACTCAACTGCAGACTCTCTACTTGTTTGCAAAGCGATTCGTTCCTGTGTCTTAACAATGAGGCCTCTGCTTTGATCTTATCAACATCATTCTCCTGATTAAGAAAAGAAAACAAGTAGAAAAATGTGATATCTTCAAATCGGAAATTATAGGCCCGCAATATTAAAAAAGATCCATGTCCTCTATAAGAGTCACTTCTCAAATTCCAACAAAGGAAGCAGCATTGAAGAGCACTGATTGGTTAACTACTCTTTCAGTAAATATTTATGTTCATTGTCGGTCTCTTTCCCCTATTAGTCACCTACTAGACTCAGGGTATAACATCTAGTTGGGGTCTAGAGCTTCTTGCACCATCAAAAAAATATTTTATGGGTCATAGTTAAGCATTAATGATAGCATAACATTCTTCATAGTTTTCATAAAAGAATAAAACGATTAATTATTTTCTAATCATTAAGAATAAAGATTAGGTTAGCTCCTTGAGAGCCACAAAAGATTTCCTTATTATTAATGCTTAACCAGAGCGGGGTAAGAATTGTTGGTTATTATTTTCCATAAATAGTAACTTCTCCTCAAAAATGTCAGAAAGGAATTGTAGTTGGATATAGTTCATACTAGAAAGCAGGTGTTTCTTCTTGGAATACAATAATTGAAAAGGGAAACAAGTAGCAGTACCTCAGAAACTCTGGCTGGGGATGCTAGTTTGGTCTCAATATGAGAAAGCCTGCAAGAAAGATCTCTCTTTTGAAGCTGAAGCTCCTTGTTCAAGCGCCTCAACTCAACCACCTCCATCTCTAACCCATTCAAATCTTTGCTACTATTCCTCTTCAACAACTCCTCAGAAAGATTGGCCTTATCATATTCCAGTTCCTCCAACCTCTTCACAAGTCCATCAATTTCGCTTCTCTTCAACTTGAACTCCTCATCAAGCTTCATCTTGCTTTCCTTTGACTCCTGGAGAAGGCTCCTAAGGTGATCTATTTCCAAGAACAAGTCCCGAGAGCCCGAAGCTTTAGCTCTCTGACCAACCACAGATGTCTGTGGGTGAACCTGAGTGGCAGTCACCGAACATGACACATCTCCCATCAGAGATCTCTTCGCCCTTGATTGGGAGTTGCTATCAGAGTTCGCCAGTGGTGTTTTTTTGCTCTGAACTGTTATTTCCACCTTTGCTTTCTTCTCCCCCGACAGCCCCTTCACAATCTGAGAGCCCCATGAAGACTTCGCCTTTGAAATATTACCGTTTCTTTTCACATGATTAACAGCACCCTTCGTAGCCTGGTTTTGATCGGATAAATTAGACGTTTTTAGTCGACTTTCGGGCTGGTTCTCTTTCCCCATTGCAGTCAAACTTACCATTAGAGCTCCAACTTTTGCGACCTTAGAAACTCCAAAACGCTATGTGTTGGGGTCAGGTTGACTGAAACCTTCCACTTGAAAATATCAAGCTTTGGTTTACAGCTTTTAAGCTTTGGGTAATATCCTTAATGGGTTTCCTGAGAAAAGGTAACAGGAGCAAAATTAGAAGCCAAGCTTGATTGAAAGATAAAAAATTGAAACTTCATGATCATCCTAATAAATAAACTGCGGTATATTAATTTCGGCAGGAGGTGCTCTTAAGTCTATTATCAACAAGACAAATCATTTGCAAGTTTAAAGCTCACAGTGAACGTGACGGATTGGGGTTTGAGGTTCCATTGTTGAGCTGGGAGAGAGAGAGAAGGGCTTGTTTAATTCTTCTACAAGATCATTAATGGTGGGTTCTTGAGGAAAGAAAATATGGCAGTCCGTGTCAGGGGCTTTCTTTGGTGGAGAACGGGTAGTGCAGTGGCGAGTATAGAGCGGAGAGTGTTATTTGAATTTTGAATTTCAAACGGTGCGATTTCCTTTTTGTTTCTACTTCGAAAGTCAAAAGTCATCTCATACGTGGATCTTTGGGGCCAACCGGGATCGAGATAAATCCGTCGTCAGAATTTGCAGTAGAAGAAAAGGAATATACAACCACGCTACGCGGCACTTAAAAGTAGGCCAAGATGGAGTGTTCAAGAGATTTAAAAAAATGTTTTTGAGTCTCTCGTTTAAAAAAAATGAGTGTTTTATGTGACAGCTTCTACTACAATATCATTGACGAATAAGTAATTGTCCTTATGCAAAGAAAGAGATAACAGAAGTCGTGGGAAGAGGCGGTCGTCTCCTAGGGTTAGCCTGGGTTGTTTTTCCGGCGGTGACCTTTCTCGGCCACAGTGTCCAACGCTTCAGATTATTTTGTTCCATTACTATGAGCCTCATCGTTGGAATTGTCGAGGTTTGGGGAATTTAGCTACCGTTCAAGGTGTGACCGACATGGTGCAGGTATATCGGCCTTCGATTCTATTTCTTATGGAAACAAAAATCGATGGTAATCGAGCAAAGGAAGTGCTTCGTCGTCAAGGTTTTCAACAGGTGGAGACAGGGGATAGCAGTGGCATTAGCGGGGGTATTGCACTGGGTTGGAACGATGACTTGGAGGTGACGGTGGTCTCCGCCCAACAAAACTTTTTCAATTGTATTGTGAGAATGTTGGCACATGAACGAGTTTGGAGGCCAAGGATGTTTTCTTTTGGACTGAAATTTGCTGGTCTGGTCTGATCTGGTCTGGTCTGAACTGGTCTGGTCTGGTAAACGTCTGGTCTCTCTGTATTTTATATCTACGGAAGTCAAGTCTGGTCTGGTCTGGGACTGAAAACAGTCCAAAAGAAAACATCCTAACCTGTTATTATGCTTTTCCGGAAACAAAGCGAAGAAGGGAGGCATGGCAGATGCTTGGGGGATTAGCGGCAAATAATTCTTTACCATGGATGATTATAGGGGATTTTAATGATACTCTATATGAGTCCGAAAAGAAAGGCCATATACCCCATCCTCCTTGGAGAATGAGAGGGTTTCGAGATGTTGTGATTAGCAGCGGCTTAAGAGACTTTCCCTTCGAGGGATATTAGTGGACTTGGGACAGAGGTAAGGGCACTTCGTATTGAGTGGAAGAGAAACTAGATCGAATTTTGGTTAATGATGACGGGTGGAATCAGTTTATGGCAGCACAAGCATCCTCGCTAGAGGCCCCGACTAGCGGTACATGGCCGAAAAACTCGTAGGTTTAAATTTGAAAATATGTGGTTAAAGGAGGATGAATGCCGCACGATAGATGCTAGTAGCTGGAATGCAGGTTCGCATTTAACAGTTAATGAAAAAAAAAATTGTGGGAAAGAACTTCTACGGTGGGATGGCCGCAGACCTAAGGGAATTCGTAATCAAATTGTTGCATGCAAAAGAAGGCTAGCTTGGCTGAGAGGCAAAGATGATGCGGGGAGCACAGTAGAATTTATCTGGTTGAGAGCGGTAATTCAATCACTTATGGAGAAGGAGAACTTATATTGGCGGCAACGAGCAAATTAAAACGGTTCTGATTGAAGGAGGGAGATATAAATATCAGATTTTTTCGTAATGCTGTTAAGCAGAGAAGGAGGAAAAATAAGATACAGGGACTACGGTCGGCGAATGGCTCCTGGGTCACGGACAGGGGGCAGTTGGAAGGTATGGTCAGAATTTATTTTGAAAATATTTTTCAAGAAACGACCGAGTAGTAAAGTTGGGAGGATTTGGGAAATTTTAAGCAGGTTTCGACTGAACAAAATCTGAGGCTGACTAGGGCTATTAGTCCGGATGAGGTAAAGGAGGCTATTTTTTAGATGCACCTGGAGAAGGCGCCAGGGGAAGATGGAATGAATCCAGCTTTTTTTCAAAAGTTCTGGGACATTGTGGGGACATAGGTGTCTAGCCTTTGCTCAGGTATTCTTGAGACTGGTAGTTTACCGAGTGAACTAAATGTAACTAATATTGTCCTGATTCCGAAAAAAGATAAGCCTGAGGGTACGGGTGATTGGAGACCTATTGCTTTGTGTAATGTGGTATATAAGATATTTTCTAAAGTGCTAGCTAATCGACTAAAAGATTTTTTGGGGAGTCTGGTGGATGAGAGTCAAAGTGCCTTTATTCCGGGCAGATCCATTATTGACAATATCATTGTAGCCTTTGAGACGCAGCATTATTTAAAAAAGGAAGACCTATGGGAAATAAGGTATTGTGGCTCTTAAATTCGACATGAGTAAGTCCTATGATAGAGTTAGCTGAGATTTTCTTAAGGAAATCATGCTGAAGATGGGGTTTAGTTCGAGATGGGTGAACATCATTATGCAGTGTGTATCGACAGTTAGCTATTATGTTCAATTTGATAAGGATTATCTGGGTCCTATTGAGCCGATAAGAGGACTACGGGCAGAGTGATCCCCTTTCTCCATATTTATTTATACTAGTTGCGGAGGGGCTTAGTGCACTACTACGCCAGGCCGAGGGTAGAGGGGAGATTCATGGGATGTCGGTGTGTCAGGGGGCACCTCGCGTGTCGCATTTATTATTTGCAGATGATAGCTTTCTCTTTTTTAAAGCTTCAAATGAAGAATGTGCAACAATGAAGACTATTTTGCAGAAGTACGAGCAACTCTCAGGTCAGATGGTAAATTTTTATAAATCATCCTTAAATTTAAGGATGATTTATAAAAATTTAAGGATAATTTTTGTAGCCAACAGTTGGGAGTGCCGAGGGAGGGGGGACAAAATCTTTATCCGGATTTGCCTGCGCTGGTTGGAAAAAATAAATTGGTTATTTTGAGTTACTTGTGTGATCGGATTTTTAATAGGATTAAAAATTGGAATAACCGGTTCTTATCTTGAGCTTGGCGTGCGGTTCTGCTACGCAATGTTATTCAGGCATTACCAAATTATTATGCTATGAATGTGTTTTTGTTGCCTAAAGATTTGGTGGAAGGGGTCAAAATTTGATAAAAAAGGCTTGAGGTGGAGAAGGTGAGAGGTGTTATGCAAGCCGAAGGAAGCCGGGGGTTTGGGTTTCAGGAGAATCCGGAAGTTTAATTTAGCTATGTTAGCTAAACAAGGATGGCGGCTCATTACTAAGGGAGGGAGTCTGATGAGCCGGGTGCTAAAAGCCAGGTACTTCCCTTCACCCGATTTTTTGCATGCTAAATTAGGGAGCAACCCGTCTTTTATATGGAGGAGTATATTTGAAACTCAAGAGGTTCTAAGAAATAATGTTAGAAGAAGAGTGGGGAATGGTATTGATATTCACGTGTGGGCAGATTCTTGGCTACCAGGGAATGATGGTAGAGTAACTTCTGACAAATCGGAAGGTATAAGGGATATGAATGTGGCTGCTTTACGTGACATTACGAGACAGAATTGGAGTATTGAAAGAATCAATAAATGGTTCAACCAAGAAGATAGGAGTCGAATTTTGAGTATTCCAATAAGTTTTATTGATAGGAGTGATGGCTATTGGTGGGTCGGAGAACGTAATGGAATCTTTTCAGTGAAGAGTTGTTACAGAATTCTTATGGGGGACCAATCGGGAGGGTGAAACGGTTGGGGGAAGTTGTGGGATCTCAAGACCCCTCCAAAGTTCAAATATTTAGCTTGGCAGGTTTTAGATGGGTCTTTGCCAACTGTGAATAATCTTCGCAGGAAGGGGGTTAATATCATTAGTGGATGCAAGCTTTATGATTCTACAGAAGAGGACACGGATCATGCCCTTCGCTCGTGTCCCAAAGTGATGGAGGTGTGAAAGAATGCAGGGATTTCCTTAGACTTGCAGCAGCTCTCGTTCGAGGACTGGTTCCGCGGGAAGGTAGCCTCGCCGACCACTGAAGCTGACATCAACTTCTTGGCTAACTTGGAGCATCTGGAAGCGTAGGAACGGTGTAGTCTGGAAAGAAAAAGAGCTGGACGCGAGCTGAGTTGTCCGAGTTGCGGTGAGTATGATGACGACATGACGTGAAGCTCAGGGGACAGCAGGGAGCCAGGCCGTGAGAACGCCAAACAGGGAGGGGGTGACAAGGTGGCGAAAGCCGAGCCCAAGTTTTTTTAAAATTAATGTTGATGGAGCGGTTAATCAAGGTGGGGGAGTGCGCGCTTGGGGGTGGGTGGCTAGAGACGAGAATGGAAATTTTATTCAGGCCTGGGGTTTTTCTAAGAGAGCTGATTGGTCTGTGGAAGACACAGAAGCTATGGGGGTTAGAGACGCTATAGCGGGAGATATAGAAGCGGGTTGGCAGAAGGTGGAGATTGAGACTGATTCTCTTAGTGTGATTCAGAATTTGAAGATGAAGAGGGGGAGCGGCTTATGTCCATTTGATTGTTGATGACATTAGAAGAATGGTAGAAACAAAGAGCAATTTTGGCGTCTCTTTTTGTAGAAGGTCTGCGAATCATGTGGCTCATGCGCTTGCACAATCACATGTTGCTCTCTCAGATCATATAGTTGATTATGATAGTATTCCTCATTGAATTTACAGCCAATTGGCAAACGATCTTTTAATTTAATATATTCGGTTTGACGATAAAAAAAACTGACAACTTCTACTAACTTTAATCCTTGTACTACTAAAAACTTGTGGCCGTCTCTAGGTCTCTGCATAGCAGTTTTGTACCGGCGGTAACATTCGTTACCAGTCCGGTGGGAGTTATCGCACAGGTGTGATGATCGGTTCTCTATTACATAATTGAGGATGAGCATATTAAGTTGGAATTGCAGGGGATTAGAAACCAAAGTGCGATGTTCAAGAACAAAGGAATTAATTTTAAATCAGGGTTTTCAGGGCTCTTGCGGTGTGGACTGCGAAGGGTTGAGCGGCGGGCTGGTGTTGGGCGGGAGGGATGACGCCGAGGTGGAGATTATTCAGGCTGAGCGAAATTTCATTGATTGTAAAGTAACCATGAAGGCGAATGAAGACCCTTGGCGGATGAGTGACTATT